AAAATAATGATACCAACTATCCTTAATTTTTGCCATATCATTCTCCACCCTTTAAAAACCCTCGTATTTCCAAACCACTCACAGAATAGTCAAAGGAATAAGTTTTAAAAATTTTTTCTTTTTACAAATCCTACCCGACACCCAAATCTCCTCCTTCACCAATTACCCAGCAGACTATAGACCACGGACCATAAACTATGAGCAATAGAACACCATAAAAGAATATGATTGCAGGTCTCAGCCGCTCTTTTACATAACTAACATGCATTCGTTGTCACTCTTCTCCTACTTATCAGCTTATTATTGGTCAAAAGTACACTCACTCCCTGCCTTCCAAGCGAAGAAAGCAATTCTAAGCGGTGCATGTGCTTTCCAGATCTGTTTATAAGGGAAAACTGAAACCTTGTTGTCATTAGAATCCATCAATACATCATAAAAAGATTTTACAGTTAACTGACCATCTTGCTTTGGTTTCCACACTAGTAAGTCACTAATTATAGTCACTTGAACACAGGAGAGCATCTGCAGTAACTCTTCATATTCCCCAACCTCCCAGTCATTCAAATTCCACATCATCTCCACATTCCACACCTCCCCAGGCCTCCCACCTTCATAGGCATCCTCCACCACAATAAATTTATTCTTCACAGTAGCAAAAATTTGTGGAAATTGATCTTTAAGCTTCCCAATACCAATCCACTCATCAAACTAGAAAAAAATTCTATCTCCCCTTCCTAACTGCCACTTATAACATGATGAGAGAATTTTATGCTGTTTATACCAATCTTCCTCCATAAACTCAAACCACTGAGATTGATGCGATGAGCACCAAAACTCAGAATCCTCCTACCTCCCCACCGAGCATCAAACATTCTTTTCCATATACGCGCCTCCCCCTTCAAGTATTTCCACAACCATTTACCATGCAGGCCATATTCATCTCAATCATCGAATGGATGCCCAAACTGCCATAACTCACCGGCTTTCTCACCTCCTCCCACTTTACCAAGTGAAATTTCCTTCTACCTTCATCATCCCTCAAAGGAAACGGCATTGATTTCTTTCCAATGTCTTTGCAATCTTCACAGGAATCGTAATAGTAGACAAATAATAAATAGGATGATTAGCAAGAGTATTTTTTATAAGTGTAAGTCTACCTCATTTAGATAAGAAATTTCTCTTTCAACTAGCAAATCTCTTCTCAAAAGTTTCAATATCCGGGTCCCAAGTCCCTAAGTCCTTATATTGGAACCTAAGGGGAGGCCCATATATTTTGTAGGAAGTTTAGTCATCTTGCACCCCTAACAAGACTGCAAAATAATCATCATTTTTCTGACTCCCTAAATTGACTATCTCGGATTTATTTAAGTTAATGTCCAGCACAGGAACTGCTTGAAAACACATCAGAATACAGCTTAAGCCCAAAATCATCCTCTCTTCCAGTTGACAAAAAACAGGGTGTCGTTTGCAGAAAATAAATGAGAAACTTCAATATGCTGATTTCTTCTCCCCACCCACACCCCTCTCATTAATCCAGCTCCTTTGCTCTCTAAATTATCTTGT